CTTATTGATGTCTAATCAAAAGACAAACGATACTGATTGCCTGATAGAATTTAAGAAAAGACTAGTGCCTAGCCATGTGCCATGAACTTTACAGGAAATCTTTAACCTTTTTTTATTAAAAAAATAAAGGAACAGATGTATGAAAAATGAATAAATGAATTAGTATAATTATGCAAGTGAGTTAATGTATTTTAAATTCTAATTTTGTTTTATAATATATAACCTTTCCCTGCCCTCCCACTTGTCATCCTTCAAGCCAAACAGACACACATATAACTCCATCTCACATCATAGACCCTCCATTTTTGTTTGAGATCTATCCTCATCTTCTCCTATTTATATATAATATGGATATATATATATATATATGAAATATAAGATTATATGTAATGTTAAATATATATGACATGTATATTATATATAATATAGGGATATATAATATATATGTGAAATACATAGACTATATAACATGGAAATATATATGGAATAGAGATCAGTATCAAAAGTCCTATAAATGTTTTGACAGCAGTCTTTCCAGATGTTTAAAACTAGTCCAGCGGTGTTAAGAAAGCTCTGAGAAATTGTTAACTTCTCCACAAAAATAACTTTCCAAAAATAAACATGCTGATAGTCATTCAAAAGCAATAAGGTAGGAAATGAAAGTAACATCTGGCACTGGAAGTTCCAGGACAATCAGAGCGGTGTTCTCCTAGCTGTGTCAGCACTTTTTAGTAGAAGCTAGAGATTCCCATTATCATGTAGAACAATGTTCACCTTGTCGAAATATAGCCTTCTATATATTTTGACTGGTATCCTTTGCAGGTCATTATTTTTAACCTGGAGGCTGCATATAGAATGTCATGCCACCCGCTTAAAACCAACCTAGCTCTGAGCATAGCAAACTAATGTCACCAGCCACAGGCACAGAGAAACAAAGCTATTACATTTAGGTAAAAATTGGCCTGACAAGCTTAGGGAGAATTGTTTCTCAATATAATCACCACTGCTAACTTGAAAAGTAAGATATAATGGTTTTTACTAGTGTCATTTCTATTTTTATATCTAGGTTACAGTGATCCCACAGGAAGGTATGACCCTGCTGTTCGAAGCCTTCACAACTTGGCTCATCTATTCCTAAATGGAACAGGGGGACAAACCCATTTATCTCCAAATGATCCTATTTTTATCCTCCTGCATACTTTCACTGATGCAGTATTTGATGAATGGCTGAGGAGATATAATGCTGGTGAGACACTTTCATATGCTTTTTGCAGGCTCAGCAAAATAGATTGTTCGGATGGCATAGTTATCACTTTAGGCTAAGCACTTGACATACATAAACTACACTTCCAAATAGCTGTAATATCTAGCCATTTTCAAATATTCCAAGCCATTTTGAGAATACC